TCTACACCAGTGCTTCACACTCCCTCTTCCCAATGCCTTCCTTTCTCCAGAAAGCTAGGGCAACCCATCCCCCACCCCATTCCTAGGCTGGGCGATCCTGGGGGCCTGGGAAACGAGAGAGAATCTAAAGGAGAAACCTTCCTCTTTTCCAAACATTGTTTAATGGGGTAAATTAATGCTTTATTTACATGACCAGCAGCAACTTTTCCTCTCCCCCTACCCCCTCAAAAAAGATGAGTAAGGATCTCAATACAGAAGGGAGACTAAGTTGAAACAGGTTTCCACCACCTTGGGAAAGAAAGGTCAGTGTTAACGTGCAAGTAAGTAAGAGAAGAGATTTACAACCAGGAGCACCACTATCCCCATCACACCCCCACCACCAAAGCAACAGTTAAATCTTGGAAAAATCGACAAGGACTCCCAGGCTGACACAGAGGAATGAGATGGATAGTACAGGCCTCTTGCCTCCTATCTGTGTGATCTGGGTTCCTTTCTCTACCCATGGTTTTTGCCTTGTTGATCCTGCACCGTATGCCCACCTGCCTTCTTCATCTGCAAGCGTCTTAATCTTCCTAAAACTCATATGCACCTACTCAAACATCAACTCTGTCCCAGCATATATCTCCAGACAATAAGCAGGAACCAAGAGAGCTACGGATTTGACTTAAAGCCCTCTCAAAGCTCAGAGTAAGCAATATATTTTCACGTGTGTGTTGTGGGGGGAGTTTTTTCCCCCTAGAACAAAGACTTCCCCACCCCCATTTTTGCCATTGTATTTACTGGTTTAAAAAAAAAAAATCTCTGGCAACACAAATTCCCCTCAGATGAAGGTGGAAGGGTGGAAGTAATGACCACTAAAATGATATCCCATTGCTGATTCCAGGTGAATTTTTTTGTTTGCTTTGAGGAGATCAGGATAATCTCAAATTTAAAGAGCACTGCAGTTTACTTGGGGTGAGATAGGGGAATGGGACCCAAGACTCAGAGCCCCAAGCAATTGGTGGGAAACTAGACCTCAAAGCAGAAAATGAAAAGTCGATCTGGGGGAAGATTTTTAAATAAGTGTGTCAGAGGGACCAAGAGGAGATGAGGCGATCAATCTTAGCCCCCTGACAGCTCCCTCGGATTGCATCAAAGAATTTGGCTCTTTGGAAAAGCAGAGGGAACAGCCGAAATTCTACATCCCTTAAAAAGGCCTGGGGTGGGGGACGGTTAGCAAAAGAGAAAGGTGATTCTGGGAGAGCAGGGAAACAGATGGGAAATGGAGACAGAGCGAAGGGCGCTAAGTTGGGTGGAAAGTTTGTCTGGAGAACTCCCACGGCTCTGGCCTCCCCTCCCCCTCCTCACTCTACCGCCCAGCCGGGAGGAGCAGGCTGGTTAGCAGAGAAATGGCAACTCAGCCCGCGCTCTGGAACTAGAAAGTTTCTATCAATGTAACATCCGCGTGGGTGGTGGTGAGTATTTAAAAAGGACAGAGAAGTCTAAGGAGAAGGGTTGGGGTGGAAGGGAGCCAGGTTGGAGAAAGGCGAGCCTGAGGTGGTGGCTGCGGGGGGAGGCAGACTCTGGAGGGCTCAGAACTGGGTAAACTGGTCCGAAATGGTTGTATTCAATCGGCTCCAAAGAAAGCTACTTTGGACATTTGCAGATTTTCAAGACCGAGGATGGGCACAGAAGAAATTGAATAGTAACTGAAGGCTGTGCAGTGAGGCCTAAATGGGAGTCACTCTGGTCACCCCTTTGAGAATGCCTGCAAAATTTCAGACTCAATTGGCTGTAGTAAAGTAGAATGCTTCTCTTGGCAACTCCAGCCGGCCTAGTCTGTCCCTGCAGAAAATACAGCCCTTTGTAACTCTTGCTGACAGATTTTACGGCCAGATTAGAGAGCAGTGGAAAACTTGGGTGTTAAAAGGGACTAAGAGACCTTCCTAGAGACGTGGTTCCTTCATCTCCTCCTCGCTTGTTTTGCTGCGAATCTTAGAGCCCAGATATGTTACCCACATCTTTGGCTGCTTAACTGAGCGCCTGGAATCTCTCAGAGGGGAGTGTGGGAGGACATCAAGCCACATTGGCTCTTCTTTTCCTTGGTTGCTATTCCAGCTTCAGGCCAGAGCTCTGGTTTTCAAACTGAAGTTAAATTCTTCCTCTTGGCCTGCCTCTTTACTGCTAGATAAATAATCAATCCACCCCACCCCCAGAGTCAAACACGGTATTTCATTTAGTTACATCATCCAGAAAATGTTATTCAGGGGAGAGGGGAAAGAAAGAAAGACAACCCCTTGAGCGTTATTTGATCCCAATCAAACTTTGCACGCTCTTATGCCTTTAAATTATAGCCTGACCCAATGCTTACTACTTGGATGCCGGAGTCCAGTGAAAATCCTACTTGGTGGTGATGGTGGATGGGGTGGAGTGTAGATTTCAGGTTGCTTTTATATTGTTATTTATTGTTGCATAAAGACTGTAATTACTAACCTTGGACTGCCAGGATGCAACATAAAAATGAAAACCGGCTCTCCCTTTAAAGCTGAGGGCCTAGAACGATTCTCAACGGTACCCCCACCCCCACCAATCGCTACTACCAAATATATGCTCCTAATGAAGCAATGCGGGAGCATCGCTTACAATTAGAATTATGTAATTCTTCAGTAAGCAGCCATCGCTTCTCTTTCAACGAATTAGCTCCATATTTCATCCGCCCTGTCTCCTAGCTCTTATCGGCTGCAGCGAAGCAGTGGTGACATTTCATCTTTGACAGATCCTCTCTATCCTCGCTCCAATGTGATAAAACTTTTATGGGACCACGACTAAGAAATGAAGTTTTCCCAGGGATTGTGGAAAAAACAGCCGCACATTAGCCTGGGGACCATTTTATTTACACTTGGATCTAACAGCGTCCTCCTCTTATTTCCCAGACAGGGGAAGTCAAATTCATCTCCCCTCCTTGTGCCCCAAGTTTTATTTAGAGATTTAATTTTACTTGAGTTTTAAGGGTTGACCTGAGAAGTCTAGGCCTCAGGTTTTGTTTTGTTTTGTTAGATTAATCATTTTCCTTTGTTTTCATTTTAGACCCAATGGTGGTTGGGCTTCGGGTCACGTGATGGCTTCTTTGTAGCTCCGGAAGAGGACTGTGAAGTTTAGGCTGCTTGGAAGAAACAGCAATCAGCCAGATTTTTTTGTCGTGGGGGGGCGGGGGGGGGGCGGAAAAGCAGCAGAGATAGTGACCATAGAAGAAACAGACAAAAGATCAATAAGGGAAACTGAGAGGCTAAATGGCCTAAAAGAAAGACCTACAGAGAGCGCCCAAGAGCCTCCCCCTCAACTTGTTCCTTAAACTTCAGCTAAAGACATTGGCAGATTATTCCAGTCTAGATTTAAACCTGAGGCACAGAAAAGAGGTAGGGCCTGAGGGGTGGACAAAAAGGCCAAAATAAGGGTCTTCAGTGTCCTTGCCTTGGGGGACCTTGGTAGTGAACAGCCTGGATCTGCTAGCTAAATTGGACCACTAGGACAAGATAAAATAGATAACAGAAAGTTTATTCAAGAATTGTTCAACAGACAACCCTTTTAAGTGAGGAAGAAAGTAACTACGAAGAACAAAGAAAGCTCCAAGAGAGAATAACTCTAATTCTACAAATTCAGGACTATACAGTGACGATTAGGAGCTGAGTTCATGCCTTTTAAACTAATTACAATTGCTCATAAGTACGAGTTTAACATAAATCTATAGTTCTTTTCTAGAGTACAATAACTAAAATAGCTGGTTTACATGACAGGAAACACAACGTCCTTTATAACAAGTAAATACTAAAAAAGTACAATTTTTTCCTTTTTCCCTCATAAATACATAATGTCGGGGGGGATAAATAATACAAAAAGAAAATATTTTAACAGGCTATAACCAATAAATATATATGAAAATGTTCACTAGAACACACGCTTTTTGAGCGACGCTGGGCTCCTGCAGGCCCAGGCATCTCTCACAGTTGTTTTTATATCCATTAAAATGTAAACTCTAAGTGCAACAAAAGTGTCCTGTCAGGAGGTTGAGCAAGACTCACAGGCCAAGCTGCAGTCCCTCCTGGGACAAACAGTTTGTTCAAATATACCCTGTTTTCACGTTAAGTCAAGAGAGTAACAGAAGAAAAGAAAAAGTGTAGAACCTCGTGTCACCGATTGCTTTTTATGGAGAGAGGGGGATGGATCTGGAGCTGAGATAGGAGGCAGAATGGGCAAGGCTTCAGTCCTGACAACTTGCCAGCCTTCCAACTTTTATGTAAAAGAAAAAATATATATATTTATAATATAGGCAGCTCTGACTTTCAGGATCTCTCGCCATCCCTGAGCCCTCTAAAAACTTATCAACGGGTGGGGTATGCGTAATAATGTCCTAAAGCAGAAAAATATGGGCTAGAAATGGAGGGAGTGCCGTAATAAACCTCAAATAGATGGGAGCAAACTTGAGGCCTCTGGGAAGCAGGTGGGGAGTGTCTTTTGTGCCCTTGGATTTGAAATTGTTCTGTTTTGCTTTTAAAGAGAAGTGAGAGGAAAAAAGTCAAGGTTTGGGGGAATTGCCCACAGAGACGGAAGGTAAGTTGGCTGGTTGATGGCCTAGCCATCTTGTCTTTTTTTTTTTTTTTTTTTTTTAATGTGCTTCTTTGCCTTGTTTCACTTACTCCTCTTCCTCTACCCCAGTGAGGAATTCCAACTGGTAGTGCTGGAGCCCTGGAGTTGATAGGGTCATTTCCAATTTGCTGCGAATTCCTTTCCTATGGTTGGCAAGCAGATGGAACAAGGAGCTGAAAAAGCAACTTCTCAGACCAAAGGGAAGGGAAGGGGCTCAGGCTCCTTCCTCCTTTTCCAGACCTCTAGAACTGCCCTCTAGAGCTCTTTTAGTCCAACTATCCCACCTTGCCCTATCACCTTGCCCCTCCGTCCTCCCTCTCCCATCACAGGTGTGTTAATTTGGGCGCTTCTTGGATTCTACCCTGAGGAGGAGGCGCATGATGAGAGGAGAGGTCTGTGTAGGTAGGGTGAGGGTCACAGGGTCCGTGGTGCTGGCTGGGGGCCATTGGGGGCGCCCCGTTGTAGTCCAGGTTCCCCGAGGGGTGATGGGAAAGGTGGTTGAGGCCGTAGAGGGAGGGGCCAGCAGGGGGCGGCAGCGGATCCGCATAGCCTCCCCCGCCCACGTACACCGGGCTGCCCTGCATGGTGGGCGTCCCGTACGCGCCCCCGTTGGCTTGGAGAACGTGGGACTCGTAGTCGGGCGCCGCCGGGGTCGGGGGGTACTTCTGCGGTGCGCCACAGCCTTTCAGAGGGGGCTGGTAATTGGAGGGCAGCGTGTAGGCATTCTGGTGGGCTTTGCCGAAGGCGGGCGGGGACGGGCTCTCATAGCTGGGAGTCATTGAGTGTAAGGCGTTCAGGAAGCCAGCGGTGGACTGCATGGGCTGAGGGGGGCTGCCGGCGGGGGAGGGGCCACCCGAGGAAGAGGCCAGCCCCTTGGCCTTCTGGTCTTTCTTGTACTTCATGCGCCGGTTCTGGAACCAGATCTTGATCTGCCGCTCGCTGAGGTTCAGCAGGTTGGCCATCTCCACGCGGCGCGGCCGGCACAGGTAGCGATTGAAGTGGAACTCCTTCTCCAGCTCCACCAGCTGCGCGCTCGTGTATGCCGTCCGCGCCCGCTTGGACGCCGCCGACCCTGGGGGGCTCTTGTCCCCTCCCCCGCCGCCGCCGCCACCCCCGCTGCCACTACCTCCTCCTCCTCCTCCAGCGCCGCCGCCGCCACCGCCGCAGCCTTCTGCCGGATCCAAGGGGGAGGGGTGGGAAGGGGAGAAAATGAAATAAAAGATAATTACTGAACACGCCGAAATTGAATGCATCGTTTTTTAATAAATCCAGGCCTGGACTCGGAGCCCCCGCCGCCCTCCCCTTCTCGTCCCGCCTCCTCTCAGCCTATCCCCCACCCCCGCCCGTCGTATTAGCGGACACTCTATAATAGTGGCATTTATTAAGAGACCTGGTCTCTTCTCACTGCCCCAGCTTATGAAAATTTGATCATGTCACGCAGACAGAGCTGCATGGCCATTTATTTAGGGCTGGATTTTCTCACGCGCTTTCTCCCCTTATCCCCAAGTTCCAGGTCTGGGAAGACACACCTGCCTTTGAGGGGGATGGGTGACTAAGGAGAACCCTTGAGGCGATTTGGACACTTCTAGGCGGGAAAGGGCCACTGTGACTAGAGGCTGGGACCCTGGGACCGCCGGGGCAATTGTGATTAATATCCATAGTAATCATACTTAATAATAATCAATCCTTGACGCGGCTGTGTCCTCCCAGCAGAGCCTAAGACCTTTGGAAAGGCTCCGAAGCCAGTGCCCGGCCTCCTGGAGCGCTCAGAAGTTGGATGGAGCTGACTGGAAGGATGTGTGTTGACTGGGCCAGGGGTCATCAGGTGGTGTGGGGGTTTGGAAAATACGCCACTGATGGCCACCACCAGATATTGCTCCCAGTCTCGCACCCCAGGCCGCCCTGTGGGCGCCCAGGGACCGGGTGCTAGACGTTAAGTGGCATTCCTGGCCTGGACAAAAGCTGAGGAAGAGGAAGTCAGAGAGCCGGTACCTGTGCCGGGGGAGCTGTTTTTCAGCTTGGACGTTTGCCTCGACTCTTTCATCCAGGGGAATATCTGTTTGGTGAGGGTGGAGTTGGAGCCGCACTTGGGGGGGCCGCTTTTGCTGGGCCCGCCCGCATTATTGCTGTTGCTAGTGGTACTGGTAGGTGCGGCGCTGGGCGGGGGTGAGCCGGGAGGGGCGGGCAGGGGCTCGGGGGCCAGGCCAGGCCTCATGCAGCTGCCGTTGAGCTCCTTGCTCTTGGCATGTGGGGTGGCGTTGCCCAGGGACTGCAGCGAACAAGCTGAGCGCTGATAGTCACCCTCGAGGTGCGTGGCCGCCTGAAAAGGTGGCTGGGGGGGCCCGTCGTAGCCGAAGCCATTGCTGCCTGGGTACGAGGAGTAGCCTCCGAAGAGCGCAGCTGCGGTGTTGTCGTAGTAGGTGGCTTTCTGCATCGCTGGGCGAGGCCCGGGCAGTGGGTGGCAACTTGCAAGGGCCTGATACCCTCAGGACCGGACATTGGCACCCCTGGTCACGTGACACGACGGAACCCCCCCCCTCCCTTTTCTGCCCCCCTCCTCCCGGGTGTGCTCCAAGCGGCTGACCTGTGGGGCGAGAGAAGAGACACAAGGGGGAGAGGAGGACTGGGGCGCTCGAATGAATCCATCTTAGGTACTGAAAAGGGAACTGACATCAATAGTTTTTTTTTTTTTTTTTTCTTGTCCCCCATCCCAACATCTCCAAAGCAGATGCTGAGGCTACTTTCCTGACCTGAAATGGATTTTCCTGATTTGAGTTCTTTAATTTTAAAGAAAAAAGCTCACTGGGGTTTTCATTTCCACTTATAAAACCAGGCTGATACTCCTTGGAGGACTGGCTAGGTGTAGAATATTACTGCCACAAAGGCCATTGCTTCTTTCTTGTGTGCCCACTAGCTCCTGACCTCTCCTCCTCCCTCCCTCCCTCCCTCCCCCCCAACTCTGGGATAGGGTGGTTTGGGGAGGGGGGAACTAGGACTGTCCAAAATAAAAGCGTCATCAACACTCTGCTCTGAGCTGAGAACTCTCTGCGGTTTGCCTCTGCTTCTTCATGTCCACCTAGACCTCTTTCACCCAAGCAAAGTCCAGCCTAGAAGACAACCAGAGGACCACCTCTGAAAGAGACAGGAAGGAGGCAGCAAGTTGAGCAGGGGACCTTCTGGAAGAATCCTTTCCTTCCCCTCCCAACTTAGGAAGACAACAGCAGCAGCCTGACCTAGAAACTTCTTGAAGCTTTTCAACCTCTAGAGTCAGAACCAAGTCTCCTCCACGATCCTGCTGCAGGTATCAACACCTCCAAGCTGAGTCTGCTTTGCCCATCCAGGACCCCTCTGGCAGCCAGCTGCCCCTGTGGGGCCCCCAAATGGAGCTGAATTGTCCTGCTTTCCCTGGCCAGGCTGGTTGGTGCTGTGACCATTTGTCTCTTCTCTCCTTTCCCTTTTTTTTTAACCCCCAGCAGACTTAATATCCCCACCCTTTCCTTGACAGTTTGTTTTCTTTGGATTCTCCAACAGAAAAAAAAAAAAAGAAAAAAGAATCGTATGTATAATTGCTGAACTTTTCAACGAAGGGGTGGCAGAAGTGCTTTTTAAGAGAAAATTACTCCCACGAAAAAAAAAATTCAACAAAACAACTTATCTGGGTTGAAAGCAGAAGGCACCCCAGTTTACTGAGCTCCTCCAAGGCAAAAAGGAAGAAAAAACATTCCGTAATACTTTATGCAGCTTTAAAAAAAACAAAAAAAAGGCAGAAAAATCAAGCTTCAACTGTTGTGGGATTTTGTGTATTATTCTGAAACTTCTGACTGCACTTTTTTTTTTTCCCTCCCGGTCTTCCCCCACCTATCATCATGACCAGGCTGGACCCACTCTTGTCTGAAATGTATGTTTGGAATACTTAAATCTCATCCAGCTCAGCTGGTCAACTCCATAGAAAACTAAAAATAGAAAAATAAAAACTAAAAACGTGCAGGTGAAGGAAGTCCCTCCCACACATGCATTCCCTTTTAAATGGCACAGATTTATACTCAAAAGGGAGCCAGGGTGGCCCTGAGTTCCCATTGGTTTCTGGGAAGAATTTGTTTCTGGGAAATACGTACGGGTTTGCAAAGCAGCAGGTTCTTCTAGGGAGAACTGGAGTTCAATTGACCAGACTGACCCAATCCCTTTATTATTATTACCATTAGCCACCGATGATTAAACCAAAATTAGCTTCTGAGCAGCCCTGGCTGAAGGGGAAATTAATTACCAGGCATCAGTTGAGTTTGTTATTAATAGATAGAGAAGAGAATGAAATAAAAAACGTTGGAGGGGGTTGGCTGACTGGGCCCTAGCTTTATTTAGTCTAGATGATTGTTACAGCAGTAATGATGATGATGATAATAAAACAATAATTTGACTAGACGCCTGAGGCCGAAATCCCTGTCGCTTCTCCCTGCAATAAACCCCAAACCATCGCAATACCAAGGCCAGGCGAATGTGGGAACTAAAGGAGCCAGAGACACGATACAAAGAATGGAGACTCCGCCAGCGGCGAGACAGGGCCGAGAAGGTTTGTGGAAGGGGTTCGCCCCCGGCTGTCGCCGCCGGGCTGTCTCGGCCGCTGCAGCCGCGGTGGCTGGCGCTGAACTACCAGCCGCCGACGCTGGCCCAAGGAGGCGAAGAGAAAATGATCAGGATGCCCAGACGCTTATAGGCGGCGGGTTCCAAGCGCACTGGGCCGGCAAAAGACCGAGCCCCGCAAGGCTGCAGCAAGTTTGGGCGCCGAAGGTAACCGAATTAAAAGGCGCCTTAGCAACTCCGCTCCTGGACTTTGCGGGGCCGTGGTCTGGGCCTAAGGGTGCCGGGGCCTGGCTGATGGGGCAGTGAGAAGCTGGAAAAGGATCGGAAATCTGGGGAACCAGAAGCAGAGGGGGTGGGGAGCAGCTCTACCAAGCCAAACGTGTCTATTTCCCTTGCCTCCATGTTGGAAAAATTCAGGCTCCATATGGCTCCTCGGGCAGGAGGGAGGGAGATGGTGGCTCCCGGCTTCCCCCGAGGGTCTTGCCGGAGAAGAGAGGTGAGTTCTCCCCAAGAACCCCACCTCACCAGGCACACACACCCCAGGAAAGCTCGGGAGGGTAACAATAGCTGGGGAAGCCGGAGGAGAGGGGGCAGGCCACCTTCCAGGATCTAAAAATATTAATGGAAGGAAGAAAAATAAAAGAATAAGAAAGGAAGAGAGAGAAAGGTTAGGCTCTTCTTAGCACCGGGGGAAAATTCAACCCTGGATCTGACTGCTGAAAGAAAAGAGGGAAGAAAAGGAATGAAGCAGGAAGAGAGAGGAGGGAGAGGGAGGGAGGGAGGGAGAGAGAGAGAGTCGCTGCGTGGAAGGAAGCTTAAAGCTTGTGAACTCTTCTTGAACCGAGATTGGAGTCATATGGGCCATAAATCATTGAGACATACTCTCCGCCATTCACAAACTGATAGCCTATTTCAGTCCAGCTTACCTTAGCCACCGACGAGGGGAGAACAGGCAGACATAATATATATTCACATCGAGCCCCAGCGCGAGCGGCAGGCGAGAAATCTCCCCTCCTTGAAGGCAAAGGAAAAAAAGACCACTGTTTAAAGCTGCGTCGCCCCCCCCACCCCCAATAGCCACCCCGGCTGGGGAGCCTGAGGGGCAGAGCGGCCGGAGGAGCCGCGCGCTCGGCGTCCGCTTCAATTCACTCGGCTTAGGAGCGGGGGTGCGCAGGAGGGAGGGGGTGGGGGAGCAGGGAAAAAAATAGAAGAAGAGCGGAAAGGTGCTCCGGCGGCTCAGCTCGCCGAGAATCCAGCTCCCGGCTCCCGAACGGCCAAGCCGCCACAGTGTGGTTGCCCTATAAGACTGGTACGCCCTACTCTCCGTAACAATGGCCTCTGCTTTTGCACAGGGAAAAAAACACACACACACTCACTCACTCTCACTCACACACACACACACACACACACACACACACACATAGCTTACATACACACCCATCTCTCCCACTTCAGCATGCTTAGATGCCTGATAAGGAAGGGTGATGGTGGTGATGGAGGGGGGGCGTTTAAAATATTTGCCCCCCCCCCAAAAAAAAGAGTAATAAAGGAAGGAAAGTAAAGGGTCTGTTATATATATTTTAAAGAACAGGTACATTGTAAAATTGAGATTGAGGGTGGGGGCGAAGGAGAAGAAGAGCAAAGGCGAGGCGAAGCCGATGGAGTTCACAGCTCCCCCTCCCACACACACTAGTAAACCATTATGCTAATTTGAGAAGTGGCATTGGGAAGCTTTGTCAAAGGCGCTAGCCTGCCTAAGGGTGGGGGTGCTGGGTGCCCCTCTTCGTTCATTCGCAGTTGGAAAGCCAGGACTTTTTTTTTAAGTAGTTTCACTCCTCCGGGACTGGTGGCTGGGTCTCCCGCCCTCTGGCTGTGGCTCCCTCAGAGTCTGTTTCTTCTCTCCCCCACACCCTCTCTATCTCTCCTTTCTCCTTCCACATCTCTCAGCCAATCTCCAACTCCGGGAGGGGGAAGACCAGACTTAAAAATTTTTTTTAACTTTTATTATACCTTCCTTTTTTTTTTTTTTTTAAGAACAGACAACAAGCGGTGAGTGATGATTTTAAAACTTCAAACTATTTTGTAGGGGATGGGGGAATTGAAGAGAGGGTGACAAAAGACGGACCCTTGTGTTTAGTTTGAGTTCCAGGCCCGGCTGGCAGGAGAAGTCTGTAGGAACTTCAGGGAGAAGTTTCTGTGAAGATTCTCACCTCCGGAGGCAGAAGGAACTAAGAAGTGATAATGACATTTGTACTTTGAAGAAGAGGAGAAGAGCTAGTCAAATGACTTAGAAGAAGAGATTGCACTAGCAAAAGAGACTCTGGATGGTTGTTACTATTATTCAGAACAAACCTGTTTGTTTCTCTGGTCTCTGCAAGATTTACAACTCTAGTGTACAAGTAAAGAAGACTACAGAAGTTAAACTTTTTTTAAGGGTGTGTAAGAAGGACAGGAAAAGGCAATGAGGAGGCCTGTAGGAGGAAGACAGGAGGCAAGAATGTAGGTGTCTGCAGATTTGGGGCGGGGGTGGGGAAGAGCCAAGAGCCATTCCCAAAGGAGAACAAAGAAGAAAAAAAAAAAATCACCCGGACATTTCCAAAAGCAGGAGTGTTTGTTTGCAACTCTGCCTAACTGCTGACTAGGGGGTTAGGAAATAAATAGAAGGCAGACACTCTTCTCTTTTTCACAAAGACAGAATGGGAAACTGGTTCTGTTAACCTGGTGTAGACAGAGCTAGCCACTACCCCATGATCTCTGGATTAGGATACTTGCCTAGCTTTTGCCTTCTTCCATCTGGATGCACCGGGAGAGGAGATGGGGCTGTGGAGAACAAAGGTGAGAGATGGTTTGCAGCCA